CCGCCTGGGCCGGGGGCAAGAAGCCGAAGCCTGGGGAAGGGGACAGTCCACGAAGCGAGTGGTCCAGTGCCCCCCAACCGCCTGCCCCCGCCCCCGCCTGTCCCTGGCTGGGTTGGGTCCTAGAGGAACACTCGCGGACGCTGGTGGGGCACAGGCAAACCCGGGTGGCCCCGAACGCACGGGTCCCCCAGGACACAAGCCTCGAACCCCCGCCTACTCCTCACCTGGGGTCTGGCACAGAGCCGAGGGCACCCCCAAAAAGGGAGGCCTGAGGTGGGGGCCCAGAGCGATGTGCGGAGCATTCTGGGGCGACAGCAGGGGGGCCGGCTGGGACAGCTCCCTGTGGACGGCAGGGCGGTTTTGGGCGGGGGTCGCGGGGAGCGGGCAGCAGAGGCAGAGGTCGCTGCAGCTCTTCCCGCCCCGTCTCTCGCTCGCCCCTCTTCAGGTCCACCATTCCCCTCCTCCCTTCTTGGGGTCTCCGGGCCGCCACGAGCATCGGTGTCGCCAAAGGCTCGAGTCTGAATCGGTGCTGCTGGAGGCAGTGGCCTCCGGACTGCCGGGTTCTGCCTTCTGCCCCCTCTCCACGGCCTCCCCCATGGAGTCCTGGCGCCCTCACCTACCTGTTGGGGGAGCCAGGCCCTCAGCTGTCTCAGGGGCACCTGGATTCAGCAGGTCCCATAGTTGCTCAACGGAAAGGGAGTCGCCCTCAGTACTCCCACCAGAGGGGTGGTCACCCCCACGCATTCTACCCCAGGAATATTTTCCTTCGGGCCTCTGCCCAGCTCAGGAGGGCACCAGGTCCCTTCTGCACGATGAGCCATGAACCCAGGGCTAGCCCAGTGCCTGGCACACTCAGTCCCCACAGGCCAAGTGGCTGGGATGAGAGAGTCAAGGTGGCTGACGAGTACGAAGGTGCAGAAACCAGGTGATAAGTCTCCACCCCAGCAACCAGCACAGTGAATACGGGGGCCTCTGAGATGCAGACACCCAGTACCTCTCTGAGAAGGATGGGGTGCCGGCTGGAGCACTGCCCTCTCGGTGCTGAGCCAGGCCCTGCTTCCGACGTGGACCTGTGGACGTGGGCAGGTGGACTTCCAGGCCACTGGGGCTCCTCACAGCCGCCGCTGCCACCTCCTGCCGGACCCTCAGGAGGTCTGGGGAGGGGCGACAACAGCAGTGACCCAGAGGGCCCTGGGCTCTCACCCTCCTGCCCGGCCAGCACAGGGCACTGGCCGCGGACACCAAGACCAGAACCAGTGAGAGCAGTCCTCACACTGACCCACCAAGGCCGTAGGGCAAGGGAGACAGCTCATTACAGCGCAACAGCCTAACCCTAGAGGATGCTGGGTGGGAGTGGGAGGCACCCACCTGTCCTGGGAGGGGCCCAGGAAAGCATTTGGAAGTGACATGGGGATGTTAGTAACCAAACTGCAGTAGGAGGGATGGGAGGAGGGAGGCGAAAACCCAGCAGGCATGGGAGGGTGGGGGGCATGAGTGTTGTTGATACGGACAGTTCCGAGAGCATGGAGACCCAGGCTGCAGGAGCCTTGAGGGGAGGGGGTGCACTGCCCGAGGCGGGGGGCGCGGGCTGGCTCTCGGAGGGCAGTGTGGTCTCCAACGCAAGGCTGAGGCTGCGCAGGCGGCCCCCTCCTAGGTACACGCTGTGCACACCCC